CTCCTCACCGATTTTCTTTCCAGTTTCCCATACATCCAGTTAAAAGTCCCTATCATCCAGATCTCACCAGCACATGTGGCCCCATAATTCCAAATCCGTAACAGCTCTCTTTCTCTTCCTGCTCAGTCTCAACGTTCTTAGCAATTTCTCTCCTATGACTATGGATTGTTTACTTCAGTGTGTTCTATTTACTCTCTCACTGCTGGATCTCAAGTACTCTTCTATCCATTCCTTTTCCTCTAACACTGTCCTTCTTCCTGCTTACATTCCTGGTTCTATACTTTCCTCCTCCAGGAAGCCTTCCCAGGCTGACCAACTACAGATATTCTCTTAATCACTCCTTCCCATCACTGAGGTCTAGAGCTCTCCAGTCAATTTTCTAACTTTTCTTAGGAATTCACTCTGTCTCCGTCAAACTAGAAGCTGTCCAGACCTTAGCACAGTGCCTGGCACACAGCAGGTGTTTAATAAATGTTTACTGACCAAATGACTAGGGAGCTCATTTTCTTTCTCTGGATGTCTTGCCACCTGACAAGAGTTCTGACTATATGGAGCACTCATGACAAACAAGAGAAGGGGCACAGGGAGAGAGTGGACAGGCTAACCTGAATCCTGATGATGGGATGCCAATAGCCGCCAGCACGTATATCACGTCCTGGACGAAGAAAATGAAGAAGAAAACGAAGAAATTGAATGAACTGTCACTCCTGCAGAGGAACAGAAAGATAGAAGGGAGAGATGTTAGGCATGAGGGGCAGACATAGGTCACACCCAACAACCTTCCTCTCTCCCACAGTCCCATCCTTGCTCACCTGAAAGCCTTGTACATAGGGCGGTACCAGCAGACAAAGGAGCAGGGCGTGAAGAGTAGGGCCCAGAGGATGGAGAGCCCAAAACTAGAGCCACTGGAAGTAGGGGTCACACAGAAAGAGGCCAGGCAGGCAAGGAAATTCAGGAGGAGGGCCAAGGTACTGCCTGGGGGTGGGGTGGAAGGGAACAGTGTCAACATGGATGAAAATAAAGTCTACCTCAGTACTAATGACCCAAATCCCCCATCTCCAATGGAAAAAAAAATGTTAAGGAGGTGTCCAGCAGCTAGCTCTGCTGCCATCTTTCCACAAAGCCTTCACAGTTCCAACTAGTTGAAAATGTTCTTTCACTCTTCAACTTTTCCTAGAAGGTGGATTTCTTCTTTGTCTCATCCCACCCCACCTGATATTTATTTATGTGTGTGTTGTATGTCTCTACTAGCCACATATTGATGAGAATGTAAGCTCTATGAGGGCAAGGGCTATGTCATTTTTTATATTTCCAGTCCCTATCATATAGTAAGCACTTAATAAATGTTTGTTAAATTTAAGTGAATAAATTAACAAATGTTTATCCGGAATTTCCATGGCAGAAATTCATAAAAAGGGAAGCATCTATCTTTCTAGAATCCTCCAGACTTGGAGCAGCTAGGAGGTGCAGTAGATAGAGCTCTGGTCTTGGAGTCAGGAGGACCTGAGTTCAAATCCGGCCTCAGACACATAACACTTAGTAGCTGTGTGACCCTGGGCAAATCACTCAACCCCACTGCCTCATCAAAAAAAAAAAGAAACCTCCCAACTAATGGCAGATTACAGGTCAAGCAAATGACAAATATGTGTGATATGAGGGGAGCTGCACTTGGAGGAAAGGAGTGGGAAGTCACGAGATATGCTGGCAGGCTGGATAATGTTTTCTAGTGGTGGTAGTGGGATCAAGGAAGAAGGCTTCCTAAAGGAGATAGCCTTGAGACATGATGGCAAATTAGTGAGAGATACTATTTTATGACAGGTAGAAAGAAATTTAGATATAGGAGGTCGCTTGGAAGCAAAAGAGGGAAGTTTCAGGCTCTCTCTTCCTCCCTGAAAGATACTCTTATTCTTCTACCTAAACAAAGCCCTGTAGTTCCCCACCACTTACACATCCAGAGGTAGTACATAGTAGACACTGTCTTCTGGAACTCCTGGGGAATTTCCATGGAGATGTCTTGGAAGAAGCAAGGCTGGACAGGGCAAAATGATGGCAGTGGAGGCCAGTTGTTCTGTCGGGCTGCAAGGTATAGAGTGGCCAGGTGAGAAGGATACCAGAAGATGTCAGAGGCCAAGAGAGTAAAATTCAACAGATGAAAACTCTCTATTTTCCATAGGAGGTTCCAACTCAGTGACCCATGAAGGATGCCAGTGACAGAATAGTATGAATGGCATTAAGTAGAAAGAATCCCTCTCCCTTTCTTGCTCATTTCAGAATATTAGAAGACTTCACTCCCTGCCTGCTTCCCCCAAGAGCTGGCATGGTGTTTGGTTGCCATCACCAAAGACTTACTAGCAGAACCCCCTAGGGCTGCATGCCGCAACTCCCTCTCCCTCCGGTCCAGCTCCTCTGCCTTTCGATTGAGCTCCTCCTGCCTTTTCAGAAGTTCTGCGGTGGCTGCTGCAGCTGAAGCCTACCCAGAGAGAGAAGGCAGAGGATGAGTCAGTCCTGGGACTGTGTAGCCTAGGGATAGTGCTGAAGGGCACTGCTTAGCCCCAGGTATCTCTTCACACATAATACCTGAGTGTTGTAGGAGCCATAATTCTTAGGTTCTGTGGGGCTGATTTTTCTGGAAGGCTGCTGGTGGGGCTGGGTTGTTGGCAGAGGCGGTGGGGCAGGTGGCTCATAGGAAGGTAGTGACTGTTAGATTATAGAGAGAAAAAAAGAATCTTAGAGCTAACTTTAGAAATCATCTAAACTTCCCAACCAACACACAGTACAGTGACTTGGACATGACAAATTTTCAATAAATGAATGTGAAATGGAATGAAATATAGGATTCCCTTTCACAATATCCCTGAAAGAGAGCCCCTGATTGCTGGTTGAACACTTCCAATAATGGGAGGGGAAGGGGGGCAGTAGAAGAAAGCTCTAATTGTTACTTCTTTTCTGCTTTGACGAAAAATACGAAAATACCAAGTCACCTGCTCTGATTGATTCTCACATCCCATCAGAGCCATTAGGCAAGAGCCCAAAGCTTCTTCCATCTATCCTTTCCTATCTTACCCTACTCATTTCCTGAGATCTGATTTCTAACTCTCTAGTAAGACAAATAGGCTTCCTATCACCTGTTTATTCATTGCTTCCTCCTGTCCCGGAGCCTAAGTACAATTTGTTTTCCTCTTATTTTCATTCACTGTTATCCCTGTCCTCCTCCATATCCTCCTCCACATTACTATTCTTCCAGGAAGCCTCCCTAAACTGACACCATTAGCTGGATCTCTTTTCATTCTCTCCAGAACTGATTTCAGCCTCAACTTATTTGTTTGGCTTTTGTGTCAAGCCATGAGATGATTCTAAAATAAAATGAAAGACTGTCCCTCACTTCACTGAATGCACAATCTGACAGAGTGACATCTAAGGTATGATTTTTTAAAGGTTCCTTCCAACTCTTAATACTACACGATGGTGGGTGCTAGTGTTTTTATCTCTCTGCGGTCACTTCTTAGGTCACATGTCAGATTCGCAGAGAAAAGAGACAATGTTTCTTCTTAGGCATGAAGCCCAGGACTCTGTCCCTCCGGGACTTAGAAAGATGAAAAGAGGTCTACATATTTACTCTCATCTAGGGTTAGACCATATCTACCCATCCCAGGTACAGACTCACCTCACGGTTCTCAAAGGGGTTGTAGACGTCGAGTGTTGCATACTGGGGGCTGGGTCGGTGCTGGGTGACCGCTGGGTCCTGGGGACAGAGACTAGGGGCTTAAGATGGAGTTGGGGAGGCAGGAGGATTCCCAGGGAGCTCCCACTCCTAACCGAAGTTACTGAGGGAAACTAGGGGCAGGGAGGGGGAAGGGAAAGGAAGTGAGGCCCCAGCTGCAACAGCTTTCCCGAAATCCTGCACCCCACCACCCATTCTTCCCAGACATGGGGGTGACGGAGTTGAGACGCTGCCCCTCCCCCCAGTCCTGTGCAGAAAGATCCCGAAGCTAGAGGGGAGGATGACCTAGACTGCCAGGCCACCCTCCACGTGTCAGTCCTTCCCGGGGGTTAAATGTCACCAGGTGCTGAGGGTCAGAGGTCAGCCTGGCCCAGACACAGAAGGGGGCCAGTGCCTGTCACCTGGAAGGGGTTGTCAAACTCGCTGGGTTCGGCGAAAGGGTTCCCACTATTCTCGTTCTGGGCCATGTCGGAAGGTCTGGCCTCAGCCTCGGCTTCAGCCTCGGCCTCGGCCTTAGCTCAGCCTTCGCCGGCTCCTCCTCCCCTCCACCGCCTCTTCCGCGGCGGCGGCGGCGGCGGCAGCGGCTCGCGGGGTTCCGTCCCTGTCGGCCCGCCCCGCTTCCCGAGAGCGCTGATTGGCCGTGAGGACCGGAAGAATCTGGGAATCCCTGCAGCAGGGGACGACTACGCATGCGTCAGAGCCTAAAGCGGAAGCGGAGAATCATTATCGGCCTGTCCCACTCCCGACTCTGGATGGTACCTTCTTGCTCATGTGACCACCTCTCATTGAGAAACTACGCCTCCCGGTAGGCACCGCGCCATAACTTGTGGCCCTACGAGTTGTGGGTAGCCATCTCCCCAGGCCGTTTGCTGTCTGGTACCCGTCTGCCCGGCCAGCCTAATTCAACCGTTTACCACTTGGTCTTAAGCACCCCCGAAACCCCGATCTAGGACTTCCAGGTATTGCAGAGAAGTGCAGGCTTTCCATCTCATCTCGGCACGTCTAACTTGGGGCCTGCGCGGGCCGTGCCCAACCCGAGGCCCCAGAGGTTCCGGCCACTCTCCAGCGTCAGTCTTACTACCCAAGCTGCTAGGTTCCTCTAGGGTAGACAGTAGTACCTCCTTTCAGACAACTTGGAAAAGCCAGCTAGTTGTTAAGTTTTGTTTTCCCCGGAGGAAAACTCATTAGCAAAGGCGGGAATTATGTATTTGACCAAATCTGGAGAATGCTCAGGTGTTCAAATACCCAACTTATTTTCCCGAACTCAATTCCAGATGGGTCAGTTGAAGCACGTCATATTTATTTCACAAAGACTGTACAAAATTCCTTATAAAACATAGGGTAGGTGCTACCTCACCACCTCATGCCCCCTCCAGCACTGCTGGAAAGAGCAAATGAAGGCCTGAGAGGGTGTTGAAGGGATAGCTTTTATATACAGGGCTTCAATGGGAAAAGGGAATAAAGGCCAGAGAGCTCTGCTGTATTTACACTATCTCACATATTCACAGGTTTATAAAGGAGCCAGGAGGAAGGTGAGGGAAGTTATGCTCCTGCTCCATTCTTTTGTATAAAAAAGCACCAGTGTCCCAGATCGGCCACTCATTGCCATAAGAGACAATAAGGGGCCCCAGGCCCAGTTGTCACCGGCTGATATCCCGACTGGAGTCCCACACCTTAGCGCTTGGTGGTTCAGCCCTAAGGCGGGCAAAGAAAGGATGCTGAAGGGCTTCGCCCAGGGTCAGTCGCTTGGCAGGTTCATATTCTAGCATGCTCTCAATCAGGTCAAATAGCTGGTGGTGTTCATCTGCCTCCGATGTCAGGTATCGCTGGTGGAGGGCAGGAAAAGGGTGAGCTGGGCTGTCCAGAGAAACCAGACCCTCCATGGTGGGCTGATTTGGTTCTTCCTTTAGGCTTGGTTTTGAATCCTGAAGAGCATCTAACCCAGACTAATACTTCTAAGCCATACTATGTACCTCCCAATACCATTGTTAGTCTTCTGTTTCGATTTCACAGCTCAGAGTACCCAAGAAGCCTCATCCTTGATATATTAAAATAATTTTCCTTATATCTTCTATGTGATTGTAAGTTTCCTAAAGTTAGGGATCACAGTTGTTCCTCAACAAACATCTAAGATGCTGCTTTGACCTTGGACTCGATATTTTTTTTAAAGCACCGTTTTTAGCCTCTCATGCTGTCCCCCAATAATCACATAATTTTTTCTTCAATTTCTTCCAACCCCTCCATTAGCCCCCAGAATTAAAACTAGTCTTTGAGAATCCACCATCCCCAAGCCTGCTCACCCGCAGAGGTTTGCAATTCTCTCGTACATAACGGCCAGCCGATGTGTTCTCATCCCAATCCAGTCGACCCCGGTAAAAATACTTCTGCTTCCTGTTAGAGGTGGGGGTTTAAGGGATCCAAGGGGTTCACATTCATAAGGAAAACTCCCCCACCTCCTTGATCTCAGTATAGAGAGGTAGCATCATTAAGTAGAAAGAATGATGGTTTTGGAGCCAGTTAAGACCCGGCTTTGAAATTTACATCTGACACACAACACTTCTGTAACCATGAACAAGTTAATTAACTTTTCTGAACCTCCATTTCCCCATCTATAAAAGGGGATAATACCCACTTCGTAGTTATGAGGACCAAATGAGAAAATGTATGTAATGCACTTTGAAAGTCTTAAAGCACTATAAAAACATCAGTTTTATTATTAGATCCCTAGGCCTTGGCTGGCCATGAAAGTGCCAAGACGCCTTGGAAAAAAAAGTAGGTACACTGGGAAAATGTACCCACTTCTCAGGAATTCCCACTCCTCAGAGGGAGAGGATGAGTTAAAGCTTCACCCAAAAGCTGGGCTCTCACCTACCTGGTCTTTCTGATCATTCGAGAGGGAATAGGCCCCAGGATCCTTTCCATCATGGCTAAGTGTTCTCGGTTGTCATGAGTCTGGGGAATGAAGAGATAAATGGTCCATGGGGGAGGGAAGATGATGGACTAAATGCTAAGTACATGGAAAGGCTTCTAGTGGCAGAGATGGGCAGGAATGGTGGGTGGGGAGAACAGGCAGGTGGGTTCTCAGAAGGCAAAAGGGTAGGTAGGTACCAGGGAGTGTTGTCAGGCGCCCTTTCCCCCTCACCTGGAACAAGGTGAAGCCAACGTAGTACTCGAAGATGATGCAGCCGATGCTCCACACGTCACAGGGCTGTGTCCAGCCGAGCTCTGGGTGTGGGGATGGGGAGGGAGGGGTGGGAGGGGGAGATGGCGCTGTGAGGCCCCAGGTGGCCCCACCCTCACCCCACCCCATCCCAGATAGTCCTATCCTCCCTTACCCAAGATGACTTCTGGAGCTCGGTAATGTCGAGTGGAAACAATGGTGCTATGGTGTTCGTGGTCAAAAGTGGCACTGCCAAAATCCACTACCCGTACTGCTGTATTCTTCACACTCCGTTCATCCCGTTTCTAGAAGAAAGACAAGTGGAGATTTAATCTCAGCTCCTGGTATAGCTATGACTCGGCCTCATGCTTCAAGCACTGGAGCATTCTCACAAAGAACCCTTGAGGATGTATGTCATTTTGGCCTCCCACCCATTCCTTCACCAGCCAGAGACACCTCTTGCTTCCCAGCCTCCACATCTATTTCAGCAAAGTACTTTCAGAAGTGGAGGTCACGGGAGAATCAAGAATGATCAGCCAACCTGAGAGTCTACATATATCCAGAACATTTCTCGACGTGTGGCACTTAAATAAATCTAAATAAGGATGTCAGTATACACATTTGTGTATATGAGAGATGGCTAGAGTCAGGGAGGGACGGTGCTATCCCCCTTTGATCCTTACTCAGCTTTTATCTTTGGTGATATTCCTCTGGTATTCAAGCTAGCTGAACTCAATAGCCTTACAGACTACCTCAAGAAAGAGAAAGAGCAGACTGGAACATGAGTTTAGCCAGAACTATAGAAATGTGGAATCAATATCATTAATGTAATATTTGATAGGATAAAAAAAAAACCTCCCTACTGGAAAGCAGTTCTCAGTTTTTCCCAATTCCTCTTGCAATTTAAGCTGGTTTTCTTCCTCTCATTCTATTCTGGTATTCTTAGTCTTAGCGGGAACTGAAGTGGAGGCAGGGGGAAAGGAGAAGATACAGGAGACATAAAGGTGAAAGGACAGGAAGCAAGGGAACAATTGAAGTAGCACAGCTGCCCCTACCCCTTTGCCAGAGAGGCTCCAGCCCTCTCACCTTCTCCAGGTTGTAGGTGAGCTCATAGTCCGAATTCACAAACAGGATGTTTTCTGGCTTGAGGTCCGTATGTGTCAGCTTGTTGTCATGGAGGACTGCAGGGGAGAGGGCGGGGTCAAGCCAAGTCCTAAGCAGGGGCAGGGATGAAGCATTCCAGCCTAATCCAATGGGTGGGATCAAAGCTGTCACAGAGGTGGATCTAGGAACCACTCAGGAGTACTCTCTATTCTACAGCCAATTAACTGACTGCACTAAGAACCCCTTCAACTCATGGCTGATAAGCGTCTACAAGGTCTATAGAGAAACTGGATACATCTAATTCTCAGTGCCAAAGAAGGGGAAACTGTGATACGATATAAAAACCAGAGAACGATCCTCAAACCACATATCTGGCTTTGGAACATCTTTTTATATCGACCCAGACACATGGAGGCATCTGATGCCACAGAATTTCCCCAAACTTCAAAGCAAATCATGAAGTTGCCCTATGAAGATCTGACTCAAGAAGAACCATGAAGCCGTCCAGATTCCCTATCCTGAACCCTGGGTCAACTCAACTACTACCTGCTCCCCATGTCCTTCCTGGGGGTGAACGTCAACCCTCTCTGATGAATGCAGCCCCTAGCCTGGGCCAAATGGCCCTATCTAAACACTGGATGTCTGGCTAGTACCTTCCCTGAGAAGAAAGGAAAAGCAGTAACTAAGTGTTTTGGTTTCAAAGGCCTTCTCTTCTAGCTCCAGATGGGCTGAATGTGGAGTGAGAGTAAAGAGAGATGGTGGTAACATCAGCCAAGGAGTTAAGTCAGAAGAAGAGGATGTCAAAGTGACATTGAAAGCAAGAACCGCAGATTTTAGTCAAGAGTTGGCTGCTCAAGGGCTTCACGAGCGTGAAGCTGAGCCTGAAGAGGTCCCCTAGGGAGGGGGCGCTGCCCTGAGCCCGCCTCTGCCCGCCCCACTCACACTTGACGGCCTGACACAGCTGGAAGGCCATGTGGCGCACTTGGTGGATGGGGTAGGGCAGGTAGTTGTTGTCTTTGAGGAAGTCGAAAGTGCTGAGGCCCAGGAGCTCGAAGGAGATACACATGTGGCCATGGTAGTCAAACCAGTCAAACATCTGGACACACAGGCTGAGGAGAGAGGGAAGGGGAGAGCAGTGAACCCCCTCTGCCTGCTCCTCCTCCGCCTGTAGCGGCGGCAGGGTGGGCTCACATGGCAGGACACGGCCAGCAGATTTCAGGGCTGGTCAGGGGCCCTGCCTAGCCTGTGGCTGATAACATGACAGCACTTGGGATCTCCTTTGCATGTGATGCTGGAAAATCATCAAGCTAGTTTTCTTCCATCACTAAATATCTCCGGAGACTCTGTTTCCCTTATGAAGCCTTCCTAGATTGATCAGAGAAAACAGATGCCGAGCTGGGTGGTCTTAGATGTCATCTAAGAGGAGACTTAGATCCAGAGCGTGTGTCCATTCTATGTCCTAGGCTGCCTCCACTTACTTGGTAGTCATCTACCCCATGCAGTACAAATAACATTCTCCAGCTTCCACTACTAGTATGTATTTTTCCTGGCCACATTCCTAAAATGCACTCATTCTTGACCAGTATTTGTTGTAATATGTATGCATACATACCTCCAGTTCATTTGCATGTCTACGCACACATGTGCACATGCACACACACAAAGAAGTTTATATAATGAAGAAAGCCAGCTTTAGAATCAGGAAGCCCAGGGTTTAAAGACTGGCTGTGATACTTACCAGCTTTGTGATCACGGGCAAGTCACACTTTCTGAGCCTCAGGTATCAGTAGAGGGAGTTCTCACACCAACAAAACCAAGTCCCTAACACTGACATACGTAAGCACGTGCATGCATATGTGTATGTATGCATGTATAAAAAGCCTGGCGTGTGATAAATGCATAATAAATGTTTGTTGATAGATATTTTTACCTATTTAATGTGTATGTATGTTATATGTGTGTGTACACATATATGTACCACACACACACCCCCTCCTTCTAGTCCATTCATATTTTGGCTTAATACTTTTCTACTGCCATGTAATATATCCATATCTACTGCATCTCTTTGAGATCATATGTTCTAGATATCAAAGATTAGGTCATTACAAAAAGCTCTGTACTGTTATTATGTCAGCCTGTATAATTAAGGGCTTATTCAATTTTTTAAAAATGCAAATGAGTATGATGAGGATGGAGATAAAGAAATGGAAAAACGACAAGACGGGGAAGACTTGTACCCTCTTGGTTTCTTCCTGTTTCCCAATGGCCCACAAAATCTTGGGAGTGTCTCTGGTGTGTGAAAAGGATGGAAATTCAGGCCTTCATTCCCTGCCCTGCTTACTTCTTATTGTCTGGGTCCTTTTCATTGATCTTCTCCAGCACATTGATTTCCAGTCGTGCTGCCTCTTTGTACTTTTCCACATTCTTAATGATCTTTAGGGCAACCCGAGCTCCACCCCTGCAAGACAGCAGGAGAAACTGTTGGTAGGTGCTCAAGAACACTCCAGAATCTGTGAGATTGGCTATAAGATTTAGAAATCAGGAAAGTGTTCCTAGATATGCTCCATCCCTCTATTCTTGGGATTGCCTAGGGGACAAAAAGGGGTTAAGAAGGGTTAGCTCATACCTTCGATGATCCACACACTGTACAACACGGCCAAAGGTCCCCTCTCCTAGAGTGCTCACAATCTCATCTGAAATGGTATAGAATGGGATTGGGGGACAGGGAAGAAGAGAGAAGGTAGGGTAAGCTTAGTTGATAGAAGATGAGCATACTGATACCTGGGGGTAGGAGATGACAGAAGGGGAAGACAGATAGTCATGAGAGGAGACCCCTGACTAATTCCCACCACCTAAACCCAGGGTCAGAAGAGCTGGAAGTGGGCTATAGGGATCAATTTATAATAACAACTCAAACCACCCATATGACAAACATCACAGAGAAGAGACAGAAGAGGCAGTGACTTGGGTTGGCATAGGGGAGGTTAAGATGTTTATAGGACCATTACAAGCTATAGGATTGTTACGATTTGGCTTGTACATCGCTCTTGTAGCCAGTCCCCGACGTGGTAGATGAGGTGACCCTCAGCGTCGTCCTCCACACTCTTGGCTCTCCGGCTGCTGTGCTGCTGTCAGGGGGCGGTGGGGGGTAGGAGCGAGCCAGGTGTCGGAGCGGGGGCCGAAGGGAGGCGGGGTGAATGGTAGAGGGGCCACCGGTCACAGGCGCCCAGCCAAGGGGGACAGACGATGACGGGGGACAGCGGAAGGTAATACGTCAGATGTAATAAGGTGGATTGGGGACAGAAGAGAGAGCAACGTATAGTCCCAGGTCCCCAAACCCAAAGTGGGGTCAGGAGGAGGGATGGGGCAGAGCAAAGAAGTGGTTTAGTTGCTAGTCACCCCCAGTCCCATGAGAGACAACAATGTCTCCTCCATGGGGCAGAGATTTACCCTACCCCCCATCAATTCCCCCCACAGATATGGGTACAGAGCCCAGAGCCTGAGGGAGAGAAGCATATCCCAAGCAAGGCATTCAGAACAGAGCTGATCATCCTAAGAACAGCAGGTAAAGTATGCCAAAGAGGAGGGCACTTAGTGAGCATAAATGCACAGTGTCTGTATGATCCAAGATCTAATGTCCTGGTGTCCTTCAAGAGCCAGAAAGTTTCAGAGGAAGAGAACTGGCCTAGTGCCCACCACAGTATCCACACCCCATAGCACAGCTGAAAACAAGGTCATTTCCTACTTACCCAGAATCCTAAGAATCTTGAAGAATGGGGAGAGAAGAGATAGTGTTGAATACTCACCGAAGACGAATGGCTGAATGTCCGGCTATGTCGTCTCCGCCGCCTGTGTTTCCTACGGCTACTTCGTTGGCTGCGGTAGCTGTCATCTCGATGGTACTCATAGGAATGTCGATACTCAGCTTCATAATAAGGTTCCCCTCGTTCCCGGCTGTAGTCACGCCTATAGCTGGCACAGTATCGTCGGTCATAGGCCCGCCGGTCAGAAGAGTGGTCATCATAGCTGATAGGAGAGAAAGAAGTAATAAAGACTAAACCAATCTGATATAGGAAGGGCATCTTTCCCCATTTGCTTATATGCTCTGCCATACCAGGTGACATCAAACACACAGCTCTCAAGTCTCCCTCTCTTCTCTAGTTTTGCCCATTACTAAGGACAAAAGGGAGGCATTCTATTACTAGGAAATAGCTATCAAACCTCTTCCTAGTCATCTTAGGAACCCAAGATAAGAAAATATCCAAAGAGAACACCCCCACACATAAGCATCCCCACCCCCTCAAAAACATGCTACGAAACAACAATACCCACCTGACCTCTTTTCATCCCCTCCTTTATAAGGCATTGAAAGCTGACCTCTTTTCAGCCACTTTCCCTAAAGAACTCCACTTATTATCCATACCACCAGCACTCTCACTGACCTATCTTATATCTTATTAAGCCATGGTCATTTTATGTGTGTGTTCTGCTTCTTCAACTAGACCACAAATACATTGTGGACAAGAATCTTAACTATTTTATATCTAATTTTCCTCATCAATATTCACTCCCACCTTCCTACCCACACCCAGATCTGTTTAGAATGGGTATTCAGTAAATATTGTTGATACTATAACAGTTGCAAGGTTTATATAGTTATAGCAATTTTGCAATAATGCATTTTAGCTGACTTTTTAAATTCTACCCTGAGTTCCCTAAGCACCTACTAGCTCCTCACCTCCTAGAACGGACGTGATAGCTGTCTTCTCGTCGGCGCCGCCGAGTCCGGTCACTGCTGCTAGACCAAGAGCGGCTTCTCCGTCGCTTATGTTTTCGACTGCGGTAATGTTCATGGTAGCTGCCCCGGCTGCCCCGCTCTGAAGAGTGGTATCTTCGGGGGTGAGGCATCTGAGAGAAGGAGACAAGTAATGGAGGCAGAATGTCATGACAAACCCCAATCTTTATGTCTCACCTGTGGTGTTAAATAAATTAATCAATTTCCTACATGACCTCTTTTACCAATGATAATATATTTATTCCTGCCTTTGTGCCTATCATTGCACCCCACCAATGATACCCTCTCCTCCTTCCCAATCTAGCTCAAAATTTCAAAATTTCATAAATAACCCTACCTGGCTTATTCTTCTATCTTGATTCCCCTTTGCATTGTAAGCTTTCACTTGTTGAAACATGTTTAATATGGCCTTCTGAGTTTGCTGTCCTTGCTTTTGCCTGCATTATTCTTTATCCCTGGAATGATATCCCCAGTTCCTATTCTACCCATCCTTTAAAGCCAAGCTTAAACACTTCCTTCTTCACAAATTTTCCTCAATCTCTCCCAACTCAACACTTTGAAGTTTTGCACACATGTATGCATTACCTTGTATTAACAAATGTTTATGTCCTATTCCCTTCCTCATCTATATTCTCCAGAAAAGCAAGAAGGCTCTTATTTAATCTTTATTCCTCCCCATGGATTTACCACAGTGATTTGCACACAGTAGGTGCTTAAAAGACATTTGTTGGATAGAGGCTGAAAGACTGTTATAAATGAGATTGTAACTGGTAAGGCTATGTTATTATAAGGTCTTTCTATGGCTCATCTTTGGATGGGTTACAACACAGAACAGACCTGTGTTAAACTAGTTTTGCTTACAGAATATAACAAATATTCAAAGTATATTGCTTAAGTGAGCTAATGTCATTATGTGATCATATTGTTTCTTTAACTAGACTACGTACATCGAGGACATGAATCTTAACTATTTTATATCTAATTTCTTTTGCCAATACTTTACTACCCTCTTACCTATGCAGGATCCAGATAATTGTACAGAATGAATATTCAATAAATACTGTCACTTTACTATTACAGTTCTAGGGATTTGAGTCCTAGAACTGTAAGGTATACCTAGAGTGGTTCCCCCCCAACCCAACTCCCTTAAAATATTTTCGTTAGAGGGCCCCCAGCTGGAATCTGCTTTCCAGTAGGCCATTCTTCTCTTGTATTCAGAAGGTATGAAGAATGGCTGGTTTTTAAATTGGTAGCAGCACTTCTTGGCTAAGATCGGACTACCCTCCAGCTGCCATGGAGGGGTGGGAGGAAGAAGAGGAGGAACAGTGATCTTCTTTCTCCCTGTTCCCTGCCAAGTGTGGGAAACTCTCAGAGGGAAATAGTAGTTACAGGTGAATGAGGCTGGAGGGAGAGGAAAAGAGGGAGAGGGAGAGAAAGGGGGGAGGAGGGAAGAAAGAGAGAGGGAGGGAGAGAATAAGAGAGGGAGGGAGGGGGAGGGGGGAGAGAGAGAAGGGGAGAGATTGCTTCAGGAGCAGAAAAATATTAGGAGCAGAGGATTCCATGTGGTAAGAGTTCCATTACGGTACTTAGACATCTGGGTCATATTCTGAGTCTCTCCTCACTCTCAGCCCAACTCTGAACTGAGGAGACTGATATTTGGCTAGGTTCCTAGTCTGGGGATAAAAGAAAATCAAGGAAACAATAAGACCACATTGTCTCCTTAGGACACTAGCTACCCCTTCCCCATCTGTAAATTGAGAATATTTGTCCTACCTCTTAAACTTATAAGTAACAACTGAAACAATGTACTTACAACGTACTTTTGTAATCTTAAACCTGTACAAGTCTTATAATTCCCAAGCACTGAGAGCCCTCCTCCATTTCAATTTAGCACCTAAATGTCTCCTACACAGTACCTCTCCCCCATAAGCTACTCTTAAGGAAACCTCTCACACGACCAACTTCTAAGTCTCTTTTTCTTTTTTCTCCATTTGCTCCAGCAACCATGTTCCAAGGGTGCACCTCCCTACCATAAACCTCTCCTAGGGAAACCTCTCACACGACCAACTTCTAAAGTCTCATTTCTCTTCTTATTCTCTACTTGCTCAAGCAATCAAGGCCCAAGGAGCTACCTTTTGGTCTCGCAGACCCAGCCGAACTCCTCCTAACGTGCGCTGTCCAGGCCGCCCCGTTCCTTGCCACACCTCGGTCCCTGACCTCCGGTCACTTCTGCCCTAGCCCCCCTCCCCCCGATACCTTCCGGCTTCCCACGGGACAGGGCAAGCCCCTTTCCTTTTCTACTCAACAGCTCGCAACAGCCCTCGTCCTCCCGCACCGCTGCGACCCCAGTCCCGCTTGGGTCCCGCACCTCCAGTCCCCGGACCTCCCCGAGGCGCGCGCGCCCGCGCCCGCCATCTTGACGCGCGCCCTCGCAGCCCGCCAGCCCGCGCGCTCACCGTTCTGGCTGCGAGGCCCGTGCGCTTGTCCCACAGGAAGTCCGTGATGGCGGCGGCGCTGCGGCCGGAGACCGGCCCCCCACCCCCCGCGGCGACGGTCTGCGGCTCCTCCCTCCCTCCCGACCCACGCAACCAGGGGCCTTGGACCCACCGAACCCGGCCCTGAGCCCCGCTGCGCTCGGTTCTGCTTCCGCCCGGCCCTCTCCCGCCCCCTGGGATCTATCGCCTCCGCGCCGCCCGTAGCTCGCCTCCCACCCCGGGCCTGGCCCCGGCCAAGGCTCCGGCTCCAGCCCCCGGCCCCGGCTCCGGCTCCGGCCGCTCCACTCCGCCGCCGCCGCCGCCGCCGCCGCGAGCGAGCACGCACGCACGTCCTGCGTCCCTTCCCAGCTCCCTCTGACTCCTCCCGTCGGGGTCGCGCACGTCGCCGTCGTCTTCCCGTTTACTCGCGGGAACTCGCCCGTCGAGGAAGGAGGCGACGGGGAGGAAATGGCCTGTTGGGAATGATGAAAGGGAGGGCATGGATCCCGTGCGTGGGTGCGGGACGCCCGGGGGGTGCGGCCGAGGCGTCAGCCGCATCTCTCCTACTCTTTTTCTTTTCCCTGTCGCGCCCCTCCTGCCCCTAAGCTTTCTCCTCTGGTCTGAGGCTTGGGAAGATCCTAGAAAGTGCTTTGAGATCCTAATCAACAGTGGATGCTACTTCACGGGTGTAGGGCAGAGAGTCAAGTGCCCCTGCCTCTCCCCAGTTACCGTTCTGCAGCTCCGTCGTGGGCTTAGTTCCTCCAGTCAGAGTGGAAGTGGGTGTCTTCCCTCCCACCCCTCACCCCAAGATCATCAGGGAAAGAGCAACAGCCACCCCCTACCACCTCTACCGTTGTGACTGTTTCCAGGGCTTTGTTCGCGTCCCTTTCCTGCCGTGTAACCGCATCACCCTCAGGGTAGGATAGAAGATAAGGAATGTAGGTCAGTGTGTCTGGACCGGTGCTTAGAAGAGGGCACAACCCCAAGCTTTCTTATCACCAAGTGTCATTTTCCCGCTTTGTCTCGGATTCTCAGACTTAGGAATATAAGTGGGGATCTAGAAAGGCACTGTCATTATCATTCCATGAGTACCACAAACATTTCTTAGTAGCACGAAATAGAGAAGGTTGAGTGGACCTTATTCAATTCAGTTCGACGATTGTTTGGCCTTTACCAGATGCTGAGAGTACTATTTCAGGTGAAGACGTGGTCACTACTCTTGATGGAACAACATAATTATATAATACTAGCTCACATTTATGTAGTGTTACAATTTATAGAATGCTTGACATACATTATTTCATTTGATGCTCACAGCAACCCTGTGAAGTAAGTAAAAATGTTGTTTGTCCTATTTTATAGATGAAGAAACTGAATCCCAGAGAGGTTTTGAGTCAGCCAAGATCACACTACTACAGAGGCAGAAGTTAAACTAAGATGTTCTAACTCTAAGTCTAATGCTTTCACTACACTATTGCTGCCCTCTATGTTCTCCAGATTTTGGAGAATATGATCCAACAAGGTCTGGTAGAAGAGGTACTTCTTATCTACCCAGTGAGATTGTAAGATTCTCAGAGGCAGTCACTATGTCTTCTTTTCTATACTGAAACTATTTTTTTACATCTTTATTTTATTTATTTACAAATTAAAGATGCCTTAAAAAATAAACCAAAGAGAAGTGAGAGGTCCAGGTATCCCAGGAAAGTACACAGAGATCAATGGGAAGCCAGGCTCACTCACTCACCCCTCAGCCTATTCTCTTAGGGCTCTGTCTGTTAAAAAGGTTCAGCTGTCCTAATAGGAGAATGCCAGTGTCAAATGTTGTCAAAGCAGAACAGAATTCCTGCACCATTGTCCATTGTGTCTCTTCCACTCTAGCACTGAAAGATGGGGGCCAGCAGGGCAGGGCAATACATCAGGACTGTAGAGCCAGGAGAGTTGACTCTAATAAATAATAATAATAACTAACATTCATATAGCACTTATGTCCCAGGTACTGTGTTGAATATTTTATAATTATCTCATTTGATCCTCACAGCCCTTGAAGGTACTATTACTACACTGTTTTAGAGATGAGAAAACTGAGGCAAACAAGTGAAGTGACTTGCCTAGGGTCACACAGCTTGTAAGGGTCTACATTTGGATTTGAATTCAGGTCTTCCTGACTCTTGTTCCAGTGCTCTATCCACTGCATCTAGTAGTTGCTTTATGAGGTATTGCAAGACTGTGCCAGGCTGCCTACAGAAATCATCCTAAGTTCAACTTCCATGTCTTTCCACCAGCTTATCCCCTATTCCTGGAATGCTCTCCCCCATGATCTCCACCATTACATTCCTGGCTTGCTTCAAGATTCAGCTCAAATCTTACCTTCTGCAAAGAGGCCTTTTGCTGGTGTTCCCCACTCCCATGCCATTTTTAAAAGATTACCTCCAGTTTACATTGTATATATCTTGTAAACACACAGTTATCTCCATGTTGTCTCCCCCCATTAGAATGTAAGCTCCTTAAGAGCAGGGGTTTTATTGTTGCCTTTCCTTGTATCCCCAGCACTTAGCACAGTGCTAGGCACTGACTGAAAAAAAAAAAAGTTTGGTGACATTGGCCCCTGTGGGATTGTCTTCTTATATCTGCCTACTGGTTTTCTCTGATTGCCTTTAAATCCTAATTAAAATCCTATCTTCTACTGGAAGCCTTTCCCAACCCCTCAATTCTAATGCTTTCCCTCCCTCATTTACTTCCTATTTATTCTGTATATAGCTCATTGGTACATCTTTGTTTGCTTGTTGTCTCCTCCATTAGATTTCAAGCTCCTTGAGGGTAAGGACTGTCTTTTGACTCTGTGTATCCTAGTGCTTAGCATAGTCCCTGGAACACAGTATTTATTATGTGTTTATTCACTAACTAATTGACCCACTGGGTAGGAAGGACTCTCACTTTCTCCACCTCACAGAATGAACACCAGGCATTGGGAGGCCTCCAAAAAATCTGGAGGCAGACCATGTATCTCTCCAATTCCATTAATCCTGTTCCCTCTCACATTGCCAATATGTGTGTAGTATCTGCTGGCCTAAGGAAGTTAGGTAGAAGGCTCTACCATTCACCACCATTTCTAGAACAGTGCTGGACACTGAATAAGTGTTTCGTAAGTGGCTTTCAGACACAACTTCTTCAGTCTCAAAGCACAAAGGAAGGAAGGTCAAGAGAAAGGATAAGATGGCAGATTTGGGGCCTGAAAGTATCATTGAGAAACAATGGGGCAAACCCCTTCACCGTAGCTCAGAAGAGCATAGAGAAGGCTGGTTAAAGAGAGGAGGTTGGGGGACTGTGGAATGAAGACTCAGATACAGAATGGGAGAACAGAAGGGAAGACTGAAGAAAGTTGGAAGTGGAACTTGGGGTGGGAAGAGTCAAAGATGGAATAGACGAAGCATGGAGATAGGAAGAGTTCAGAAAAGGAGTGTCAGTTACTACTTTATTACATATATTTTTAAAACTCATACTGTGTCGTAGAAGCTCATAGGTTCATGTGCAATCCTTTCCCTTTTTGGTATATTGAAATGTTTGTGTTTGTTGATGGTCACATTTATTTTTAAGGGCATCAAGCCAAGCATGGGATAGAAGGAATTGAGGAAATGTCAGAAGGGAAGCTGAGATCAACCTGAAATATGGAAGAGATAAAGATAAAATCTGATGGGGTGGGCTGAGGATTGTTCCAATGAAAAAGCATAAGGGAAAGTGGTCTGAAATTGACCATAGGAATTAAACCAGAAAAGGCCCTTGGTCCAAGCCTCTTATTTTAAAGATGGAGAAACTGAGACCCACAAAGGGGAAATTGCTTGTGTCACACAGTAAGTGGAAGATCTAGAACTCAAACCCAGGACCTCTGATTCCCAATGCAGTGGGCTGAAGCAAGGTTAGATATGGAGTGGTGGGGTGGGGCCTAAAGAAGACTCAGTTAGGGGACTTGGGGATAGGGTGGAGGATCTTTGGGAGGAGGACTAGTAATGGGCAGGAGGGCATGGGGCTGACATGCATGTCTAGTGTCAGGGATGAGAGGAGGCAAGACTAGGTGGAGGATAATAGGCAGGAGAAGAGGAGCTGGGAGTAGGATGGGAAGGTTATGGGCAAGAAGAAAAGAGCTGGGGATAATAGCATTTATATAGTGCTTTAAGATTGGCAAAGTGCTTTACATATGTCGTTTCATTTGATCCTCACAACAACCCTGTGAAGTAGGTTCTATTTTTACTTCCATTTTACAGATGAGGAAATTGAGACAGAAAGGTTAAGTGACTTGCACAGGGTCAGTAGCTAGTGAGTGCCTGAACAGAATCTGAACTCAGGTCCTACTGACTCCAAGTCCAACACTATCCACTAAGTCATGTAAGTTCATGGACAGAGGACAATCAGGGGCTGAGAAGGCTCAAGGGTCACTGGCAAGAGAGGTGAGCCTAAGAGCAAGAGGTAGGAGAGCAGTAGAGTAGCTAGCAGGTGAGGGAATGATGGATTATGGGCAAGAGGGTGGGTCCGAAGGGAAGGCTGGAAGGTCAGGAGCAGGAGACAGACCTTGGGGCAAGATGGAGGGTCGTGAAAAGGGGCGGTAGTCTCAGGTCGGGGTCCGGGATATTGCCTACAGTTGCAGGGGAAGGGCAGTATGATTCCACGGCTCTCCCTTTTCTGCCCGGGACCTGCCAGCGCGCTTCCTAATCTAGAACCTTGGGCTTCGAGCATCTCCCCACGCCTCCCAGACCCGCTCTTTATTCAGCTCTTTCAGGACATCGCAACAAGGCCCAGGGTCTCAGACTTTGCACTGGATCCCGCCCCACTCGGTCTCTGGGCGGTGGAGACCCGGCCCTCCCACGCGGCCCGCCCCCCACTCCCTTCAGCTCCCGCCTGGGGGCGTGCGCTCCCCTCCAACGGCCAGCCCTGTCTCCGCCCCGCTGCCCGCCCGCCCGTCACACACACCCCCTCCGCCCCAAGCGCCGGCAGCTGGGAGCCGCCGCCCGCCCGCCGCCTCCGCTCCTAGCCCGCGGGGCTGCGTCGCCGGCTCCGGCTCCCGCTCCCATCGACTAGAGCTCCTCTCTGGCTCCCGGGGCTGCGGGGGCGGGGGCGGGGTCGAGATGGCCTTGTTGAGGGCCTGGAGGCCGAGGTTTTGAAGGGGAAGGGGGGGGACTGCCAGCATGGATTCCGAGCAGCGGCCCGCGGCAGCAACGGTGGGTGCAGGAGACGGAGGCACCCCGGGGCTGGAGGCGGCTCCCCCGCCTGCCCCCGGCCCGGCTGCCGCCGTCCCAGGACCCTCACCCGTGCCGGGGCCCGAAACAGGACCCGGGCCGATGCGGCGGCAGCTCGGGGCCCTCCTCCAGCCAGCGGTCAACAAGTTCTCCCTCCGGGTATTCGGTAGCCACAAGGCGGTGGAGATAGAGCAGGAGCGGGTCAAGTCAGCCGGAGCCTGGATCATCCATCCCTACAGCGACTTCCGGTACCGCGGGCCCGGGGAGGCTCCGGGACCCAGGGGACCCCGCCCCGTCTGACAGACCGTCAGATACTGCAGGTCCCAGGGATACCCGGGGGGACTCGGACCCTGCCCATCCCTGAGGACCCGTCACTTCCTGGCCGGCGGAGGGTCACCAAGTGGGCAAGGATGGCTGTTGGGATCAGTAGACACCCTGTCCCCCTTCCCACCACCACTATCAACCACCATTGTGTAGACTTCTCGTTTTCTAGGGGGCAGGTCCCATTTTCGTTGAGATTGCTGCAGCTGTGGGAAAGACAGCTAGGGTGGTGGTGGGGGGCAGGTATTTCCGGTCTTGGGGGTCCCGGCTCCACCCTCGACGGCATCTTCCGGTCCTAGAAAGAACAAGTAGGGTGGGGATTCCCGGGTCTGTATACAGTCCTAGTGTTTGGGCAGGGGAAATCAGGCGGGAGATTTCCGGGGGCCACTAGACCTCCCATCTACAGGAAGCCACCCCGGGGCTAGGAGGAGAAATCTTGGGGACACTAGATGGGATTAGGCAGATGGGAGAGTTAGAAAGATCAAGCTCTCTTCTGGGAGCTGTCCTTGGTGCTGAAGGCGAGTGGCTCTAGGTCTAGGGGCGGGGTGGAGAGGGAGAATATGAAAGTTGGAGGCTGGCCATGAGGGTCAGGGGTACTGCCCGGTAGCTTCCCTGAGCCCCGGGAAGGTTAAGGGGGGTGAGCAGTCAGAACCCTTCTAACCCATTTTTAGAGGTTGGATCTCCAATCCACATTGCCGTAAGAGGAAGATGTCCCTGTCCTTGGGGAAAGTGAAGGACAGCTTTTGGATGGGGAAAAGATTTGGGAGTATTATATCCAAGATTTGGGAGTATTATATCCTAAATTTAGGATATAAAGGTTGGGAATGGGTCCAGAACCATTAGATCCAATTGTAGCAATAGATGTCTATTTTTTTTAACTCCCCACACTATGTGTTTTAAATCTTGAAACATTCCCTTCCTGCCCCCCTCCTTTGTTCTCCCTGCTCCTTTCTTCCCCTTCCCTCTTCTGCCAGGGCCCTCACTAATATCACAGCTGCACTTTTCTTGTCTGATACCACATTACTGTGTCTTACTCCCCTCTCCTTCACCGGCAATTTCACTATTCATTTGTATTGCCTCCAGTTGCCTGTATATCGTTTCCCTCACCCCCTTCCTCCATTTCACTTCTAACTGTGTGGCCCCTCCTTACCCTTCCCAATGTATCACCCGCTGGGCGTGTGACTGCCTGTGAGTGACTCAGGCTGTGAAGATCCTATTTTGCTTGAAAGTGCTCTCACTCCTCTTTCAGCTTCTGGTATAAACTTGGGTGTCCTTTAGGAGATAAGAAAAGTACAGAGTATGGCAGAATAGCAGAGCTGGCTCAGTTTTTTTTTTTGTTCCTTTTAAAGTATAAAAGGCATTTACCATTGAGGTGGGAGGGAGAGAAAGGGTCTGAATGGCTGGAATCCAGCAAATAAAAGAATCTAGAAGTAAGAATGATAGAATGGTGAAATAATTAGAGGCATTGAGGAAAGAAGTGGGAGTGGAGGGAAAGAGCTAGGGTGGGTACTATGTAGAAAGGAAAACATAATGAACTTCTAAATAAGTTGCAAACAAAATGCAAATTGGTCTCTTTTATTGTGGCTTCTAGAAATTAAGGGTCCTCTTGATTGCCTTGAACAGAAATAAAGTCTGGAAGTTAGATAGTGGGAAATACCTAGGACTGGGTCACGTTCCTGGAAAGCCCAGACAATTTAAAAAATTCCCTTTGGATGAAGGAGTTTCCATTCCCTTATATTCCTGATTTCTCCTTTCCCAGCCCAGCCTCATACTCAGTTGGAATATCAGTGGATGGAAGGAGTTAGAAAGGCCAAGGTGGTATGGAAAGTTTCTCCATAAAGATGTTGTCCTTGCCCTTGGAAACTTCTCATTGTTATGGGAGAAATAGGACAACTCTACCACCTTTCCCACCTTAAAGACACAGAGATAGAGAGACAAAGGGGGATGATGCAACTGGCATGGATAGTGATAGAATGTAGAGAATAGACCCAGGAAAGTCAGTCCTAGAGAGAGGATTATTACACAGGACTGGGAAGACTAGGGAGGCACCAGAAAGGGGAACAAAATGTTTAAAGACCTGGAGACAGGAGAGGATGAGACAGAAGTGTAGAATGGAGAAAAGGAGTGCTTACAGTCCTCACTCCTCTTCCTTTTCCACTAGATTTTACTGGGACCTGATCATGCTACTGTTAATGGTGGGGAATCTTATTGTCCTCCCCGTGGGCATCACCTTTTTCAAGGAGGAAAACTCCCCACCCTGGATTGTCTTCAATGTCCTCTCCGACACCTTTTTCCTGCTGGACCTGGTGCTGAATTTCAGGACGGGGATTGTGGTAGAAGAAGGAGCAGAGATTCTCCTGGCCCCTCATGCCATCCGAACTCGATACCTCCGCACCTGGTTTTTAGTGGATCTCATCTCCTCCATTCCAGTGGACTACATCTTCCTTGTGGTGGAATTGGAACCACAATTAGATGCTGAGGTTTACAAGACAGCCAGGGCGCTTCGAATTGTCCGTTTCACCAAGATCCTCAGCCTTCTGCGGCTGCTCCGCCTCTCCCGCCTCATCCGATACATCCACCAATGGGAGGAGGTGGGGTGGGGAGGTGGGCAGGGTGGTATTTATCTCATCCCTTGGGAGACAAAGAAGGACTAGAGAAGTGGGTGGAGTTTCAAAGGTAGGGTCTCTGGGGCATGACATCATCAGATGTTGGGGAGAAGAGAGAGGGGTTTTTAGGGTTATTGTTCTTACCAAAGAGAGGGCTGGGATAAAGTTTCTGAAGATAGAATTATAGGAAGATGCTGATATCATGGTTGGATTGATGGTATATAGTACAAAACTACTGCTATAAAAGTGTTTGGAGCTAGTCAGATCTAAGGGAGAGAAAGGAGAAGACCAAGATAAGAGATAGGGGAAATAGGTCAAGGGATTATAAGAATGTGGAAGATGCTGAGTGGACTCAAAAAGTCTCCTCTCCTAATTGGAATAATAGTTAACATTTATATGGTGTTTTAGGGTTTGCAAAATGCTTTACATATTTCACTTGCCTCTACCCTCTTTTTAGTCACTGTAAGGCTGATGATAATTCAAAATTTTCATACACATTTATTAAGGGCTATAAGGTATCTTACCATCCTCTCTAGGGCTATGCCTGTAGTATTAACTGTAGGATATATTGCCGGGGGAGGTTAGGCAGGGTAACACAAAGACAGAAGAGCTAGAAATAATTGCAAAATTGTGAAGAGGGTAGGGACCAAGAGAGAAGTGACCCTGCCCATAGCCCCTGCACACACTCCTCCCCCAGATCTTTCACATGACCTATGACCTGGCCAGTGCTGTGGTTCGGATCTTCAATCTCATTGGGATGATGCTACTGTTGTGTCACTGGGATGGCTGCCTACAATTCCTGGTCCCAATGCTCCAGGACTTTCCTCCTGACTGCTGGGTCTCCATCAACCACATGGTGGTGAGACACTTCTCTCTTCCTAATTATCTATTCCCTGGGCTGCCATGTGTCACTCTTAGGTCACTCTTGCACCACTAGGGGTGGGTGGGAGCATGAGCTGGCTTATGGTAAGGCATGATGGAGAGACAGATAAGAGTGGGAAAAGATACATAAGGGGAGGGAAAAGATGTGTGAAGGCAGAAGAAAGAGAGAAAGGATCAATTAGCCAACATGTATCAAGTGCCTACTACATGCCAGGTACAATGCTGAACACTGGATAGGACAAGACATTGGAAAGAGGTGAGGGGTGAAGTGGGAGAGAGAAGCAGAAGAACAGGAGAACTACCACTCCCAATATGCTTGAATGGCCCTTGGAGATTGGTCATCCTTTTGTGATTTCCCAAGCCCTGCTGAGCTAAGGGCCTTAACTCTGTCTGTGATGTTAGGGGCAAGGCAAAGAGGCTGTTGAATCAATGACTGAGAGCAGGACAAATTTAGAGGGTAAGAGATCCAGGCCCCTCAGTGGCTCAGCCCCACTCTCTTTTTCCTCAGAACCACTCGTGGGGCCGCCAATATTCTCATGCCCTCTTCAAAGCCATGAGCCACATGCTCTGCATAGGCTATGGGCAGCAAGCACCTCAGGGCATGCCAGATGTCTGGCTCACCATGCTTAGCATGATTGTGGGTGCCACGTGCTATGCCATGTTCATTGGTCATGCCACTGCCCTCATCCAGTCTCTTGACTCATCCCGTCGCCAGTACCAAGAGAAGGTCAGCAGGGGTAAAGAGAGGGGTGGAGGTGGAGGTGGAGGTGAACCCAACTTGTGCAGAACTGGGGACTGGACACCCTACTTGGATGCCCATTCTAAATTGTGCCCTTTTGGGTCCCTACATCTTTGCCCCTCCCCTTCTCCCCATCTATTTGCTTTATGTCTCCATGTTTGTTTTCTTGTGTTTGGGGTCTCTGTCTCCTTGCCTATGGGTTCCATGTTTCCTCATACCTGGGTATATCTATGTCTGGGTCACCTTGTACTTTACCCATGGCATCTTCCATTAATTCCATTCTCTAATGCTTGTATATCCCTATGTTGATATCTTTGTATTCTTGCCTTCCTGTCTGTGCCCTTTGACTTGTTTCCATATTTCTGTTCCTGTGTGATCTTATGATTGTGTCTCTGTGCCCACATGTGCCTTTGGGTCTGTGCTCTTGTCATATCTCCTTTTCTCTGTTCTTCCCTGTGTCTGTGTGTCTCTGTCACTCTATGGCCTCGTGTCTGTCTCTCCATCCCTATGTGTCTCTGACCCTGTCTTTATGTACGTATTCCCATATCATTGTCTCCATGCACCTGTCTTCCTTCATGTCTGTGTGGGTCTCCATGCCCATATCTCCATATCTACGTCCTCATATACCTTTATGTCCCTGTGTCCTCGTGTTCTTGTCTTTGTCAATGTGTCTATGTACCTGTGTTGATGGCCTTTGTATGGGTGGGGCTGGTGCCTCCAGTATAAGCAGGTGGAGCAGTACATGTCCTTCCACAAACTGCCAGCTGATACCCGTCAACGCATACATGAGTACTATGAACATCGCTACCAGGGCAAAATGTTTGATGAGGAGAGCATCCTGGGGGAGCTGAGTGAGCCACTGCGTGAGGTAGGAGGTGTAGAGAATAATACTCTTGAGATGGGGTGGGGTACTGAATGATGCTGAGTAATGTAGAGGGGGACAGGAGATCCTAGTATGGGATGATTGGGAGCTTTGAGCAGTAGGAGCTTCTGAGGATGGGGAGCATCTTCAGGGGATCGCTTCTCTGAAGGTAGAGCCTTAGAGTAACATTGCCCATGCTGACCCCATCTCTCTCATTCCTCTTATGAGGTTGGGGTCTTTGAAGCTGATTAAGTTCAGTGGGGGGTGGTTCCCTGGCCTGAATATGAAAATTTCCCTGGGTGATAACCTAACTGACCTCACTTTTTCCCTCTGCCCAGGAGATCATTAACTTCACCTGTAGGGGCCTGGTGGCCCACATGCCCCTGTTTGCTCATGCTGACCCCAGTTTTGTTACTGCCGTGCTCACCAAACTTCGATTTGAGGTCTTCCAACCAGGTGACCTCGTGGTTCGTGAGGGCTCAGTAGGCAGAAAGATGTACTTCATCCAGCATGGACTACTCAGTGTGCTGACTCGGGGTGCCTGGGACACTCGTCTCACTGATGGCTCTTACTTTGGGGGTAAGCAGGACTGGGATAGAAGTGGGGAAAAGAGATAATGGGAAAACAGGGAACTTAAAGATAAAGGTGGAACTAGCCCTAGATTCCATGTTCTTTTCTTTCTCTTTTTTTATTGGGGGGATTTGGTGCACTATGTCCTTGTACAGCTGACAGATAGGCAGTCTCACATAAAGAGGCAGCTCCAATGGGTGAGAGCAAAAATATCTTGGGGGCAGTGCGAAAAACGATCTGAGGCACTTAGGTTTTTCCTTTCAAGCCTACCTTTGATATTCATTTGAACCTGATTTCACTTAGAAAAAAAGTTTGCTCATTAGTGGTTCTTTGGGAACCAAAGAGTATAGAGACACATAAACACATACAGCATGCCTAGGCTCATAAACCCATAGGAACAACAAATGGCTAGAGGAACAGAGAAGTGTGAGGCTGGCAGTTCAGTTGGGAAACAAGACTATATCTGGGGCCCAGGAATCCCTGCCTCATCCACAACTTTTTTTTGGGGGGCCAAGTGAGATGCTATCTCCTCCAGATAGCAACAGGGGGAGAGGAGGGTAGGGAAATAAGAGAGATCAGGAACCTTTCCTATAGTAGGAGCTGGGGGATAAGATTATCAGAGCATTTGAGAGACCCCAGAAGGAATTGGAAAAAAAAATTATATCATGTCCTCAGAGAATTCTAGTAAGTATTCCTTAAGGGAAAGCAATCCTTGTTCTTAAACCACAGATTTTGCTCCAACAGTAGAGAGCAGCAGTGCTGGGGGAGATCATGCTAAGAGGTGGATATGAGAGTTAAGGTGGATGATGGGATGCTGATACCCTGCCCCTCTCCTTTACCCTCAGAAATCTGCCTACTGACTAGGGGCAGGAGAACAGCTAGCGTGAGGGCTGACACCTATTGTCGCCTCTACTCACTCAGTGTGGACCACTTTAATGCAGTACTAGAGGAATTCCCCATGATGCGGAGAGCCTTTGAGACAGTGGCCATGGACAGGTTGCACCGAATTGGTGAGTCCCTACTTTATCCACCCTTAATGGTGAGGCCCTTTCTCTCTTTTTTTTTTTTGCCCCTGAGTGACAATCCAAACATTTGGCCTTTCCTTCCCTCTATTTCCCTGCTTATGGCCCATTGCTCACATTAGCAGTGCCATCTTTCCCATCCTACCCCTGGCCACACCCAATTCTGCAGCTTGGAGGCTCACCCCTTAGCCCAGGTCCCATCTCTCTGACCTACTTTTGACTGTTCAGGGTTTCCCCCTCCCCCTTAATTTTAAATAGGATGTGCCCAGTACCACCCCATAAATGCCTACTTTTTAGCCCTTATGTGTGAGACACATCTTCTGAAGATCTCTACTTACCAGCCTATCATCCTTTGACACCACCTTATCTGTGACATCCTTAGGAAAGAAAAATTCCCTGCTTCAGCGGAAGCGTTCAGAACCCAGCCCAGGAAATGGTGGTGGGGGGAATCATGGAACAGCATCTGGTACAGCATGACCGGGACATGGCCCGGGGAGTAAAGGGGCTGGCCCCAGGCACTGGTGCTCGCCTGAGTGGAAAGCCAGTGCTGTGGGAGCCCCTGGTCCATGCCCCGCTACAGGCAGCTGCAGTCACCTCTAATGTGGCCATTGCTCTAACCCATCACGGGGCACCTCTGCCCCTCTCCCCAGACTCTCCTGCCATTCTTCTTGCTCGCTCTGCTCGACGATCAGGTGGCTCACTGGCCTCACCGCTGGTACCTGCTCGGGGACCCCCTTTGTTGGCTCAAGGGCCTTGGGCATCCACGTCCCTCCTGCCTGCACCAGCAGCCCGAACTCTTCACGCCAGCTTATCCCGGGCAGGCCGCTCGCAGGTTTCCCTGTTAGGTCCCCCACCTGGTGGGGGTGGACGGCGGCTAGGGCCCAGGGGACGGCCACTTTCAGCATCACAACCTTCACTTCCTCACCGAGCAGCTGGGGAATGCTCCCCTGGGCGCAAGGGCTCAGGAGGTGAGCGCTTGCCCCCTTCGGGGCTCTTATCCAGGATCCCAGGTACCGCCCCACCCCTCAGGCCTCTTGCCACTGATCCAGGTGCCACCAAGGGCCCTCAACTTCCTGCAAACATGTGAGAACTCCTGGGTACATCTAACCTTGATTGTGAGAGAAGGTGTGGGTGCTTTGATGTCGATGGCTACCACAAACAAAGCATCACACACTGCAGGTGTCTCCCTTTACTGCGAAGTGGAAATGTCTACATAACCTTTAGCCCTGCCTGACATGTCTCCATCACTGCCAAATAGAAGTATCTCCATGCCCTTTGCTTAGAGCATTTCCCTGGCCATAGACCTTCCCAGATACAGGCACTTTACCCTCTTCCCCACTCAACAGGGCATGAGGATCTTCTTATCCTCTTCACTGCCAGGTAGAAAGATGTCTTCTCTTCTCCCAGCTCCTGCATCCCTCTACTCATGAGCCCTTTTGGGGCAGACACCCCATTACTGCCTAGTGTGGCTACCTTCCTGTTCCCCCACTATTGCCAAAACCACAGGCCTCATGCCCCTTGTTTGGGCATCCACCTTTGCTGTCATCACTGCCATTTGTAGGCACCTACCCGTCTACAGCCCTCTCACTGAATACAAACACCTCTTGCCCAAACGGGTATCTCTTACCAGCTTTCCTCAATCCTATCTTTGTGGTAGAAAAATCTTCTTGTGAACAAAGAGCCACATCCTCCCTCTGCTCCTAACCGGTTGTACCCCTGGGGATGGGGAATGTCCAGCCCTTGCCTAATGAATGTGCCAGCCTAGGAGCCCTAGCAGCTGAATCCTTAGGTAATTAATGATTTATTTATGTATTGCCCTCTCTCTTAGAGGGAAGGGGAAAGACAGAGGCGGTCTCTCTCCTCTTGCCAGCTCTGTGGCCCTCGCCTAGCTCCATCAGCCCTGTGGGGGGAAGGAAGGGCCACCTGGGGTAGGTGTGGGGGCAGTTTTTCCTTTTAGGTGTCTTTTTTTCCTATGCTGTGAGAGAGTGGGGAAAGGGTGAGAATCCAAGTGGAGTGGGGGAAAGACGGGAACAGGGTACGGGTGGGGCAGACCAGCCAGCACCTCTGCCTTCTCAGGGATACAGGAAGCCCCCCAACTTCCCCCTCTGTCCTTGTCTTCCCCTTCCATAACATTAGCCTAGGAAGAACAAGAGCTAGAACCCTGGCATAAAGCTCCCCTGCCAAGCTCTGGGCTCTGGGATTCTTAGTGTATGTATGTCTGTGTGGAGGAATTATTTTATTGGGTTTTTTTTAAATGTTTGTTTACAGATAGTTGAATATATATTTTAAAAAATGTCCCTTTTGATTCCTGGTGTGCATGGGGTACAGCAGTGAGCTTTAGGATAAGCATGTGAACACTAGATTAAGGGAAAAGCATCTAGGCAAATGATAACAGGGTGTTCACTGAAGAAGAAGAGGAGGGGTGAGCATTGTCTGGGGGACAGCAGCCGGGATGAGAAAGGAAGTGGGGATGACTTTGGGGACTGGCCCAGATGTCAGAGCCATCCTATATCATTTCCTTCTCTAGCCTGGAGTGGGATATTGTGGTGCCATAAAAGTAATGCTAGAGCTGGGGTCAGAGGAGCTGGTTTCAAATCCTGACTCCCACTCACTATTTAGGTTTTCTTGGACAAATTATCTCCTTTCTCTAAGCCTTAGAATCAGGTCTGTTCCAGAGCTATACCTTGGGATTCTGAGTCCACGTGTGCTTTCAATATTGGCAACAACTAATGAGTTAATGCTACAGGATGCAGGATTTGAACCTTCTGAAAAAGGAGCATTACTTTCTCTATTTAGGGAATTCAGGGATCCCCTGAACATATGATGCCCTCTCCTCTATATCATCTCTAATTCCCACTACTGGGTGGGTTAGAGGAACTCCAGGAGAAGGAGTTAACCAGCTGAGCTGAGATCAATAACTTAGGGCATTTTAGCAGCCAGGTGGGGATTGGATGCAATCACATTCAGGCAATATTGAGGATGATGGATATTTTATTGAACACTTACTTCCAAGAAGCTTCAAGGAACTATAAAACCTGGTGACAGAAGAGGGCCCCCAGGGACAGCACGTAGGAACTAGAAAGGGGCTGTGGTCTCTGAGAAGGTTTACAAAGGGATGACGTTTCAGCATGTGGGGGGCAAGTGGAGGAATTATCTTTTAGAGTTGGGGAAGGGTCTATATGAAGGGGTGTCATTGGGTGGGGGAAGTCACCTACATTGGAATATGGTCCTGAGGGTTCAGACACAGGGGTATAGATTATGGGAACGTGGAGACTCAGGATACGCTAAGCACCCTCATGATGTTTGTGTAGCCTGATCCAGGTCGCCAGCCTGTCACCACAATCACAAGGTCCCCAACTCGGAGGAAACCACGGAGCTTCCCTGGGTAGAGAAGAGGGAGGGGGTGAAACTCTACCTAGGACAATCTGAGTAATAAAAATTAATTCTCAGTCACTGAGTGGATGTGGGACAGAGGCAATCATACTATGTTCCCCTACCCACTCCCCAACCTCCCCACCCCTGCCCCCACCAATCCCCAGAGACCTATAGTACTATAAGGATTCACTGGATGCCAGTAAGCATGATACATTTGGAAGGGAGCATTGTTGCTTTAATAGCTTCTCAATCCCACCTGTGTTGCCTTGGTGATAGAGGATGGGGGTGGGAGGTAAAGATACTTTGAATGAGGTAACTGACATTAATACTAGGTGAGCTGTCATAGGTGTTTTTTAGGCCAGTAGCTAAAGATTGCCTTCCTGAGCAGAACCACACCTAAGGTGGGGTGAATGGGGCTTTGTCTCTGGAGAGGAACATTTAGCGGACTCTTAACAGCACTTGCTTGCCTCCTACCATATAAAAGCAAGCGTGCTTAGCAACTTCCTAGCGTGAATAACTTCTGTTACAGCTATAGTCTGGTATGTAGCAGTTGCCTATACAGCAATAGCTTTAAGTTGACCCCTCAATTGAATTGCCCTAGTACAAAATTATTGATGATTGGTCCTTAAGTTAGTGTGCAGTTCCATCTGCCTGGTGCCTGCGGTAAACCCAAAATCTCCCCAACAATGAAAGGTGATGGCACTGTTGTACTAGCTCTTCCCCCATATTCAAGGGAAGAAAATAAATCAGCCACTTTGTCACATGCTTTCATGTCAACTGGGTTAGGTGGCTTCTGCTATACAAAAGAGTTCTAATAAAGGGTCTTGGGAGGAGAGGAGTTGGGGGAGGTGGAGGGATGGTATCGCAGAGTTGCCATGGAAACAGATGCCTAGAAGGCACTAGGGAGAGAGACTAGGGTTGTCTTGGGTGAAGAAAGCAGAAACTTGGGAAAAGCTATGGAAGCCTCACCACTTTCAATGCCAAACTGGACACGGCGGTCAACATCATCAGTCCAGACGGGCTCTTGGGGGTCTTGGTAGAGGACAGGAAAAACACCACGACACAGATGGGCCTGGCGGGCAGTCTGAGCAGAACGGGTGACAGCAATGACAGCTGCTCGGGGACGGTATCGGGACAGGAGTTGTGCCGAGCTAGGGGAGACAGAGCATGTAGCTTAGTGGAAAAGCCACCGGATCGTGAATCAGGAGACCTGGTTTCCAGCCCAGACTCTGCCACCAACTTTCTCTGTGTCAATCTCTTTAGGCTTCAGTTTCCTCATTTGTAAAATGTTCTAACTACCTCCAACCAGTGCTGTAAGGATCAAATAGGGTAACGGATGTGAAAATACTTTGAAAAATCTAAAGCCCTTTACAAAGACTAGGCATTGGTATTAGGTACTTGGGACCCTCCCTAAGCCCCTGGATTGCTATCTTTTCCAAACCAGTAATTCCAGTACTCTTACCCTGCTCTTCACATCCTTAAATGTTCAGCCTGCCTCTCTGTCCCTCATGGCTATTCCCCACCTCTGCCTGGGTGCCTTGCTGGTCTCTCACCGGCCAGATGTTGTCAGTACAACTATAGCAGCAGCACAGCACTTGAATGAAGCCTCCACAGCACCAATGGCAGTGACCTCGGTAGGGTCACGGCTTAGGGGAGCTGCTCGACGAAGTTCTTCAAATAGCTGCCGGTGATAGACTGCAGCCTCTGCCTCTCGAGCAATCTGGAAGTACCAGGGGTCAGGGTCAGGCCTTGATATCTGGCCTGGATGGCCCTGGATATCTGGATCCCAGACATGCCCCACGTTCTCCATCAGCCCCATACCGCATGCTGCATCTTCACAGCCTCGACAGGGTAGCTACCCTTGGCTGTCTCCCCAGATAGCATGATACAGTCAGCCCCATCCAGCACAGCATTGGCCACATCACTTGTTTCTGCTCGTGTTGGCCGGGCCTTGGAGACCATGCTTTCCAGCATCTGGAAGTACCGTTTCCATAAGAGCCAAAGGTTAATGCTTTCTCTCCCACCCTATTCAATCCAGGCATTCCTTGCCACTCCAGGGGGTGTTCTCCCATCTCATGACCCTAAGTGTAGTTGTGATATGCTAAGGTCAGCTATATCCCACTCCCATGTCACAGCAGGAGAGTCAAGGGACTTTAGGTGGAGGTTGGTGCCCGCAATACCTATGACATGCCCCTTCTCTCTCCCAGACCTGTGTGGCACAGACAACGGGTTTGCCAGCCAAGTTGCAGCGTCCAATCATCATCTTCTGTGCCAAGAAGACTTTCTCAGCTGGGATCTCGATGCCCAGGTCACCCCGTGCCACCATGATGCCATCGCTCACCTCCAGGATCTCATCAAACCTGGGAAGTTTGGGCCCAAAGAGGGGCATGGCCAGGAGATAGTGAGCAAAGTCAAGGAGAGTAGAGCAGAGTCAGGAAAAGGGGGGTTAGGGTCACTTAATTTCAATTCAATTTACACTTGGAGGGGAATCAGGGAGCTGGAGGTGGGAGTAGGGGATGGGATAAAAAAGTCAAGGGCTGGAAGCCTCACTTCTCAACACCCTCGTGGTTCTCGATTTTGCTGATGATCTTGATGCTCCGTCCCTGAGGCCCCAGGGCTTCACGTACAGCAATCACGTCTTGGGCCTTTCGGATAAAGGATGCGAAGACGATATCCACCCCTTGCTCCACCCCAAAGCGCAGGTCCAGAGCATCCTGCTCGGACAAGCCCGGTAGATCCACTTCCGCACCGGGCAAGTTCACCCCCTTCCTGCTTCCCAGGATCCCGCCGTTCTCAACCTCAGTCACTAGGCCCTCTGGGTCTGTGGAATTCCAGAGGCAATGAGAGACGATTTTGTGCAATTTGGTGCTCTTTTAAGGGGTGTGGCCTAAGGTAAGGGGTGTGGCCTGAGACTATATAGCGGGGATGGGTGCAAGGTTTGGGGGGAGGGACATGTTCTCGAGGAGGCGGAGCAATGCTTGGGGCGGGACAAGGGGAAATACAGAGGGCGAGTCCAAGAACAAAGGGGTGTGGCCTGAATTAGAGGTAGGGCTAGGGACTACTTCTGTTCACCCACCTTTATGCTTAACCACCAGGGAGATAAGACCGTCGTCGATGTAGATCCGGCCCCCCTCTGACACTACCCGGACTATGTTGGGATAGTCCACCCACACAGTGCTTGCATCCCCCCGAGTCCGAAATGCCGGGTCCACTGTAACCCGGACCTGGGAACCCTTCACTATCTCCACTTCTGATTCTGGGCCCTAGGGGAGGGAATGGGAAGTAAGAGCAAGGGCTGGGATATGTGGGGGCTTGGTCTCCAGCCTTAATCTTGTTCGGGACCCTTCTTTCCTTATGGACCGTTTCTTTCTGTAGCACAGATTACTGGAGAATAGCTTTCTATATTACCTGTTTAGGGTCAGCAGCCCTATCCCTTATCGATTACATCCCAGCCCACACCCATCCCTGGTCCCTGTTCTTCACCCGACTCTTCCTAGTACCTAGGTTCAGCTATCCCAGATTCTGCGTCCTCTGGATCACTGCCCTAACCTTATTCAATCCTCAGCCTCATTCCAAGTTATTGGACCAATCCCTTACCGATTTGGCCCTGCCCACATCCATCCCTAGGCTCTACTTTCTAGCACCACCCCCTCCCGATTCTATGCAGCCCTTCCTTTCTTTGTTCCAACTGCCCTCGCTCCTCCCGTACAGCCCAAGTCTTTTACTGCCCAGGACCTCACCCCCTGCAGAATCCCTGTGCGTATCTCGGGCCCTTTGGTGTCCAGCGCTATGGCCACCGGCCGGTAGCTCAAGGAGGAGCCTGCGAAGCTCTCGACGGCTTCTCTCACGTTGGCTATGGATTCAGCGTGGTACTGGGGAGGGAGACAGGGAAAGAAGGGATAAAGACGGGGATCTGGGGCCAACCTTTCCTAAACCTTCTGGGCCTCCAAACCCCCGGGCAGAATTACCCCCCAGATCCAACAGCAACGCCTCCCATCCCTCACTGCACCTCGTGGGAGCCATGGGAAAAGTTGAGCCGGGCAATGTCCATTCCTGCTTTGATCATTTCCTTCAGCCGATCCACAGAGCGAGATGCGGGGCCTGTGAACAAAAACACACCATCACAAGATCTCCGTGTTGGAGGAGATTCAAGGAACTATCTAGAATAATTGATACCTGGACGAGAAAAAGCCCCAAGTGGTCAGCCCTCTCACCCCGGCCTACTCAGGTAGCCTACCCAATTATGCATATCTTTCTCCCTTGCAGTTACCGAACACCTTTCCTGTTCTCCACCCCACTAAATCTGCTCTTCTCCAGACTAACCATCCTCATTTCTTTCAATCAATCCTCATTGTGGGGGGAGGGTTGCCTGTAGGGCAGGAGGTGGCAGCTAGGTGGCTCAATAGATAGAGCACCGGTCCTGGAGTAACGAGGACCTGAGTTCAAATGCGACCTCAGACACTTACTAGCTGTGTGACCCTGGGCAAGTCACTTCACCCTGTTTGCCTCTGTTTTCCACATCTGTAAAATGAGCTAAAGAAGGAAATGGCAAACCACTCCAGTATCTTTACCCAGAAAACCCCAAATGGGGTCATGAAGAGTTGAACACTGCTGAACAACAATCTGTTTAGAGAGACTGTTCAAAGAAACTCTCCTCTGATTAAAAGATTCCCCTTTCTGCTCCAGAGACACCCTGTACTTTCCCAGATAAGTAGGGAGATAGTAAGAAACTTCCCAGTTGTCCTAGATGAATTTGAATCAGCAGGCCCAGATGAACTAATTCCCAGCAACTTAAAAGGACTTAGTGTGTATGATTGCAAGGGCCATTCACTGTCATCGATATTTGCAAGAGGTGGAGAAAGAGATATGGC